TACATTCTTTGAATCTGCTAGATGTGATTGCGTTGTATTGCTGGGTGTGCTTATTTGTGTCAAATAAGAACGAACACACAATTCGAGCCATTATATATTTTATTTACGACTGGATAACAATAGATGTAAAATATGATCAGTGGATTCCTGGTAGATTGATAGTTCGATACGGCACATGTGAGGATGCGTGTCTACCATCTTGAAATCCCTTTACTTCTTTGTTGTCCTAGAGAGTTTCGATCAAAGGGTATAACTAGGTTCTCATCTAGTGAGTCAGTTAGCTACTTTGTTATGACGTCCGTCCTAACATGTTCAAAAAGACGTTAACATTTCCATGGCAATGAAATTAAATATACAATCATAGAAAAGAATTAATATTTTTTAATCATCTTGCATCGCGAAGTGAATGCAAACTGTTCCAGTTGAATGTTCGGCGATTCCATTAAAAGATCCACACCTCCAACTAGCTAAAAACAGAGTATGAAGACATCACAGGCCTCGTTAATCTTAACACGTTTAATTCCACGCGAACATGTGCAGATGGTGTAATGGATAGAAGCTCGGAACAAGAAATCTGAGAGCCGACTTTGAATTTCAGTCGGATTCACTTACACGCAAATAGCTTTGGGAAAGGTATGAATACATCTCCTCCCCCACCTATGGGTTAAATGGTAGGACATGTATCTAGGAGAATCGTTGTTATTCTCAAAAATTGTTAATGCAATATTCACGCAAAAAATAAATAAATAAATGGAAAATTATTCTTACAATGCAAAATATATTCCGACTTTAACTAAAACACAAAAGGTTGATAAGCCGTAAAAAGATCCCCACAAAGCATAACTACGTTTACTGATAATAAATAATAGTCCAAGTAAACAAGGTTGTATTAAATATGTTAACAATATCCAGTCACTTTAGTAGAAATCTTCTAAACAAAAAGAATATTTACGATAAGGAGAAAAAAGTTGATAGCTGGAGAATTTGCTCTAATGTGTCATATATTTACGTTCGTTCCTCTATTTTTATGGCCGCTATTCTCAGTTGCTCGATAGAAGCTAGCAAATATGAAGTGACACTGGATATAAACCCTTTCACTTGAGATGAACTATTGATCACAAATAAAACTGAGATTTGGGGAATAAAAAGCAGCATGAATGAACGAATTTATACATTCAGTTGTGACTTTTCTCCTAACCCTGTCTTAGTCACATGGGGTGTTTTGTTAACCCAAAATTTTTAAAATACTCGTAATTCCTAAGTGGCACACCCACTACTCTCCTAACCTCGGTGAGGGTGTGTAGCATGCGGTGTGGCGCAGTTGTAGCTCAGGTATTGTAGGAGGCAGACGTCGCTTTGTCTTCTTCGTGGTGTCCTGTCACCCTATATGACTAACGAAGGTAAGTTTTCATTATTTACATTTGTTTAATGTATCATATATACATAGATGTCTCATATATATATATATATATATATATATATATATATATATATATATATATATATATATAGGTAAAATACGTGGTAAGTAATCCAAGTGAATCCTAGTAATATAAAATATTAAAACTGATTCACATAAAAGAGCTCAATGTATTTTTTTACAGAGCATATAATAATTAAAGATTGATGAAAATTGAGGAATTTTATAAAGGCGAAATAGCCATTCTTGTTGGGCAGTGATTTTCATCTATCTATCTATTTATCTATCTATCTATCTATCTATCTATATATATATATATATATATATATATATATATATATATATATATATATATATAAATTAGGGAATATACATAATATCCCACGTCCATAGCACGACACTGAGTTTTATGCAGATACGCAATCTTCAGGTGCAGAATACTCACACCCCGTTAACCGTAATGAAATTCGCGTTCTCGTGGTGTTGATTTAAATTGTGTGTTAAGGCTTGTTTATTTTATTATTGTTGTCTGTAATATTTAAATTAATTATTTATAATTTATAGCGATCTTAAGTTCGAAAGATGAAAAATTAAAAAAATATCTTAAGTAATTCAAAAAATGAATTTTCGTAAGCACTCCCTTTTTTTGCAGAATAAACGTCGTTAATGGTAATAGAAATAATTGATGCTTATTAAAATATACTACAAAATCAATGTTTTATGGAACAAACTTATCTCTTATGAGGTTAACTTAATTATATAAAATGGATTTGAAACCTATCTTTATAATTACAAAGGTGAAATATACACTCTAAATAAAATAATTAAGCACTATCATATGGAATTATATATGTATATAGATATATAAAATGCTATTAATGACGGGTCCTATTTTGCAAAATAATCTATTGGATGCTTAAGTACACATCATCAGTGATGTTTCTAGCCGAGTTTCATTAGGGGTTTCGGGTATTTCAACATCATACCCCCTCTCCGCAGTGACCCAGTCGATACTGATCGGGTATTGACTTGTGTACCTTCCGTTAGCTACAATTTTTCCATCCTTTCCGACTACACACTGCGACTCCTCTTGGCAATATAAGGTTCAATCCCAGATAACTTCCGGTTCACCAACAATGTACGCTCTTCTATAAAAAAAAAACAAAAAAAACGCAACCACAGTTTCTATCTGGTAAGAAACATGGCGGCGTGCTCAGCTTGATATGGTAAGTAACGATTTGTTTCCCTTATTATAGTAATATTCGTAAAGTCTATTTTAAAATCTATTTTAATCAGACTCAATGTACGTTTTGTATTGGCGTATGTAAACACCCTAGGGGCCTATCCATTTTCGGAAATCCGAGGTGACTAACGCGGTGTTAAAAGATCACTTATCTTTGATCTGTGAGAAAAGTCTGAATTGCTCAGCTGATTTGTCAATCTAATATTTTAAAACTAAAATGCAATTATTGTCAAAAGTGAAAGAGTACTGAACAGTTATGCAATATCAGTCCTACTATATGGCAGTGAATGCTGTACAATCTCCTCTCAGATGAAATTGTGACATGGCAGAAGAGATGTAGTTCTACAGAAGGATGCTGAGAATACCATAGACCGAACATACGAGGGAAAACTGACATTATACTTAGAATCAGAAAGAAACAGTTACAATTTCTATGGTACTTTATGAGGAAAGAGGGCTTAGAAAATTTAACACTCATAGAACATATTAAAGGCAAGCGGTACGGAAGAAAGCACTTAACCTACCAAACGAGATTGAGTAAATGGTTGGCAGAACAGGAATTAGGAGAGATAGTAAAAATACACTTTACTAAGAACTACAAAAGATAGGAAATTGTGGAGAGCCGTTATCACCCACGTCCTGAAAGCACATAGCCCATAGAAAAAGAAAAGTGAGTTTGTGTGAGTTCGCAGACCAGGGATTAGGAGATATAGCAAAAAAAACTTAAATTGACCCGTTACACTCTGAGAGAAATAGAGCTTATCAATTTTGGGTCAATTTAACTATTTTCAGATCTTCGTGTGTAACAGAAGAAATAAGCAGTAAAGGCCAACAAAGTTGCTCATATGAACGGCCTTATTCAACTGATATGTTAGGCTATGTCATTTTTGATGATTAAAGTTGACTAGAAGACATGAGGCCAGAAGAGAGTTCCGCATGCGAGAAATACGAGAAAACAAACTGAACAGAATTTACGGTTATATCTAGCCAACTCACCTGTAAATTTATGAGACCTCGTCGTCAGTCTAGTACTGAGCATAAAGTCTAGGTACCATAGCGAATAGCTCATCCGAACAATTACGGGAAATTATTTATAGAAAAGGCACACGGAAGTAACTTCATGGCAGTGAGAATGTGACTGAAGACGAGACGCCAGATCAGGACAAATAATATTACTAATTAATATTCTTCGGATTTTATTAAGGATCTCTATAGCAGGAGCACCGGACCATATGTGGCTACAATATTCTAAGCATGAACAAATGGTAGACTTATAGATATGTAAGACAGATTCTGGAGAGAAAAATTACACAGTGGACCAGCTTTCTTAGCAGCTAACCTAGCAATGAATTCAATATAGTCTTTCCCCTTCATGTCAGCTGAGATCTTTAGCCCGAGAAGGCATAACGAGACACTTTTCAGGAGGTTAACATCAGCCATTCTGATGGAAAGCAGGGAGGAGTCTCTCAGACGATTAACGGAGAGGTTTAGCTTTGGAGGCGTTAAATTTGACAAGATATCTTTTGTCCTAGTTAACGACGGACTTGAAGTTGTTTTGAGCATCGGCTGCCATTTTGACATTGTCGGACTGATCAGCCTTACTATCGAGGCAAGGAGTAAATTGTTGTATCGTCAGCGTATATGCCAAGTTGGGAGCTAATGACATTGGGAAGGTCGTTAACGAAAAAGACTTATAGATATGTAAGACAGATTCTGGAGAGAAAAATTACACAGTGAACCAGCTTTCTTAGCAGCTGGCCTAGCAATGGATTCAATATAGTCATTCCACTTCATGTCAGCCAAGAATGTTATCCCGTGAAGGCGCAACGAGTCACTTTCCTGGAGGTTAGCATCAGCCATGCAGAAAGGGGGGGGGTCTCAGATAGACAATAGGGAGCAGTTCAGTTTTGAAGGCGTTAAAATTAACAAACCATTATTTGCCCAATTTATCAACAGACTGAAGGTTGTTTTTTGACATCAACCGTCAATTTGACTGATCAGCCTTACTAGCAAGTCAGGAGTATATGCTTGTGCCATCAAAATAGATACCAAGTTGAGAGCTGATGCCATCAGGGAGGTTGTTAATGAAATTTTAAAACAAAGTAGGACCAAGGATAGAGCCATGCTTATCGAACTTTTGCAGGTTATTTTAAAACCAGAAAAAAATTTTGGCTGATAATAAGGATTTACTGATACAAGTCCTGCTAATTAACCCATGGCATGGAGGGAGGGAAAAGGATTGGTTCATGCCTTCCCCAAAGATATTTGCACGTGAATGAATATAACGAACCTGACTGGAAGTCGATCTCAGCTTTCCAATTCCAAGCATATTCAAGTTTACAGCAGGTGGTATTCCTAAGCTGCCACCCATCTAGTTACTAACCAGGCTTGGCGTTGCTTAACTTCGGTGATCGAACGAGAACGGGTGTTTCAATGACCGTAAACCTACAAATACTAAGCAGTAAACAAGTCACATTTTTATCAAATTTAGTATCAAAAATACTATTCATACAGAACTAAAATAAATAATAAATCTGACGTGTGAAGAGGCGATACTTAAAAAAAACCGACATGACGCGATATTTGAAAAAAGATGAAACTAGCATAGCATAGAAAACACATTGCGTATATGTGTAATGATATCATCAAAAAAGAACCGTTTGATGATGGATTATGAAAGGCAGGGGTTTTCAGACAGCAGATAATTTAGACGGAAACAAGAAAAATGGCTAGCAAACTAGATCTATTACGACTCTGGGTGCTCCATACATGCGGCCTTGTGCCACACCTAAGCTACGCTTAGTAAATCATTGGATGCTTCGACGTTTTTAATGGTTAACAAACTAGATCAATTACGACTGTGTAGTGAGTTCCATCCTCACTGGGTGCTCCATACATGCGACCTTGTGCTAGATCTAAGCTATGTCTAGTAATTCACTAATATATATATATATATATATATATATATATATATATATATATATATATATATATATATGAAAATTTCTCAGAGTTAACCTGTAGAAAAGACAATATATATAAATACAAAATCTAGTTATTACTGACGCGCTTCGTCCAATGTGGACTTTCTCAAATGAAAAATGTTTTTCTTTTCCATGTATTTGTCGATATGGAAAACAAAAACATTTTTTTGCTTTGAAAAGTCCACATTGAACGAAACGCGTCAGCAATAACTACTGTTTTCTTATTGTCATTTATATTTATAAATATATATATATATATATATATATATATATATATATATATATATATATATATATATATATAATGCATGTATTGTTAGAGACTACGGAACTTTTCCGCTTAATAATCTTTTTTTTTCTGTTTTCTCTTTCTTTCTTGCAGCTTTTTTTTAATTTTGGTCTAAGTTATTGAAATAAGACCCTAGTCCATGTTGTTTTTCCGAGCGCTTTCGATTATTGTCAACTGTTATCATGGCTTTATGTTTTGATTTGAAATAGATTGTTTATTGTTTTAGTTTTACGGGTAATATTTTCGGTATTCAGACAATGTCGTTGGATTACTTCATTACTTATTCTTAGCTGAAACTGAAAACGAAACAAAAGACTAAATTTGTCTTCTTGACTTCAATCTATGACCATTCTATTTAGCTAAGTTGTATCGTTTGTTTAAAATCATTATTGCTGAATTGCTAATGTTTCCGGCTTTTACCTGAAACATTGGCTTCTAAAACTCTACAAAAATCTATAGGTCTAATTCCTGAAAATAAGTACAAGCGAAAGGCAGAAAGAAACTTATAGTAACATTCCTCTTCTTTATGTTCCGTGTCCCTACAGGACGTAGTCGATCATGTCTCTCCACAATTTCCTGTTTTTCGTAGCTCTTAATAAATTTTGTTTATTTGTTATTTTCCCTAACTCATGTTCCGCCGTCCATTTACTCAAACTCACTAAGTATTTTATGCATTGTTTTCCTCTGTCCCTCTTGCTTTTAATGTGTCTTGTGTGTATCAGATTTTCCGAGGTATCTTTCGTCATTGTGCGCACAAGAAATTTCATTTGTCCCTTTTTAATTCTAAGTATAAGTGTCCTTTTTGTTTCCATTTTCTCTAAAAAGTCGTTGTTGCTAACATGTTTGGTTCACGGTATCCTTAGCATCCTTCTGTAGTCCCACGTTTCTGTTGCGTCAAGTCTCTTCTTCATCTTTGAGGAGATTGTCCAGCATTGATTGCTATATAGGAGGACTGATATCACGTAACAGTTCAGTACGCTTGTCTTTGTTTCTAACGAATTTTTTCTGTTTCTTGACATTATAGCTTTTCTTTCGCTATTCCAATGCGCCTTCGGATTTCGCTGTCTCATTTTATTCTTAATATTCTGCTTATCTTTTTGGAATATAATAGATGAAAAAAATATTCATTTGTTAAAATCACAGAACCAGGAATCTTTTAAAGTTGCAATCTGATTTAACATTCCCCCTCTTTTTTTAAATTGTGGCGCCCTGCTTCGTAAAATCTACAAAATTATTAAAAATGCTGCATTCAAAAATGTAATTTCTCTTCTAAACTTTTCTTTCTTTCTTTTTTCTAGAGTGAGGAAAGTGTTTCTCTGATTTTACAAATATCCAAATACATCAACAAAACAACTGTTTTCCCAAATCCTTGAGATCTAAGAAACCCCTTGGAGCTGACAAAAGACTCGTTCATTCATCATGTTCACTAAAGCTGCTGTTATTATAATAACAGGTTATCGCCCCCACTGCTAATACAATATTTCACTTTTTGCCCACACGGCGTATTTTAAGAGGTCTGTCACAGTCAGAGTTACTGAAATCGTTTTGACGTCAAATACTCACTAATCGGTGGATTAATTGCGATTAAGGATGATACTAAGGTGGATTAGAAATCGAAGTCTACTGTCACTAAAATCAAACTAACTTGCTTTTAAGGTTTCTCTTGTCTCCTCCCATAATAGTTGATATTTGTTTTGTGTGATGTAGGCGATCATATTTTTTTGTCCGACAAAGCTATATTGACAACGGCATGTTAATTTTACTGACTAATTGCTGTCGCTAATCTGGTAAATGTTTGCAGACATGTTTCGAATTGTTCAAGTGTTTTGAGTAAGGGCAAAACAAAAAAAAAATAAACCCATCTTTTCTGTTGTTGTTTTTCGCATTAATCAAACGTTCGACCTTTTCTCTTCATTGTCCATTATCTGCTACAGATTATAGAAATAACCATATTAGATTGATCGGAAAGTAATGTCGCTATTTTTGCTTGTTTTTTTAGAAACGAAACAAAAACCTTATTTGATTATTTTTTTTTTTTAACTTCGGATTAATGTCTTCGCCTTTGTTGTTATTGTCATCCTAACGTTGCGGTCGTTCTATCCTCCAACCTTCTTCAGTTGTCTCTCGATTCGTGTAACGTTCGGGAAATTTCGAACTGAACCTTTTATTTGATCTGCGTGAGTAGATTGTTATCGTACTGCTGCCCATGTCTCGAATTATTTCGTTGTTGTTTAGTACTGATCGATCATTACTCTGTACTACCCTGCCCAGGGATTGAACACACAATTATTATTCACGAACCAACTAGGCTATTATTCACAATCCACTAGGCTATTTTCTCGAAGAACACCTGAAGAATGACCGTAGGCACAACAACCGAAACTTTATGATACTAACAACAAAGATGAGGACATTAGCCCGACTGTAAATCACATAGATAATGCTAACTTCTCATGCCAGAAATTCAGATAGGAAAAAAAACTTTGTATATATCATCAGACTATTTTCTAATTCACGAAGTGATGGTAGGAGGGCTTTGCATTTCTCTCCAAGTGTCACTGAAATTTTGGTTTGGGTGTCAAAGTTGCACCATACTCACTACGTTAGGCCTCTGGACTGCTGGGGTTGTTCTTGTTTTGTTTTGTTTTGTTTTTTTTTTTTGTTGTTGTTGTTTTTTCAAAGACTCCCCCTTAACCGAGTATATCCCCGAGCTTCAGTTCTCCGTGTGTAACAGCAGGAGTTTTAAGACTCCTTCTGTAAAACCACATAATCGATTGAAAAAAAAAAAGAGAAAATATTATTTTTCTAACGAATCGGTGTTAAAGATGAAAATAAATGAGATCTTAAAAAAATGCCTCGTTAAGTCAAAAAGAAATTAAAAAGAACATATACCAAACGTTACATTTATCAATAATATAATCTACATTATTTCCCCATGTCAAAGGCCCACTGCTAAATAAATTCTTTTATTCCGCTTAGAAATAATCAAAGTCTGTAGAAAAATCTGTCAACATATCACGTTGAAACACCGGTCCTCGTACCATCACCCAAGTTAAGCAACGACGATCGTAGTCAATACCTAGATGGGTGACCGCTTGGGAATACCGGATTCTGTTAGTTTGGATGTGTGTCTGATGTAATGGATAACGACTCAGAATTATAAAGTGAAGAGCCGTGTCCCAATTCCACTCAGGCTCGTTATATTCACTTATGGGAAAGGGTATGAATCCATCTCTTCACCCCCAGCTATGAGTTAATTAGTAAGACTTGTATTAGTAAATCATTATTTATTAACGCTGACAAGCCGTACAAAAAGTAAATCAATAAAAAAAAAATGGAGCATACGTTGTCCACAATTTGAACGAGAAAGTTTTACGTCCATAATCCCCAGCTTTTGTGTACAGGAAAAATATCATTCTGGTGACTGACAATGCAAAGCCACGCTCAGAAGATTAAATCATTAGATTGGGATGTTTTGCTGAATGCTTTCAACTCAACTCAAGCACGTTAAGATTTCCATTTTTTTTTTATCAACTCACTGAAATAGTTTCTTAGATGCAAAATCTTTAAAAGATTATGAAAAAAGTTTTTTGTCGACATTCAGAGTAAAAGTATTCATTTTGCCGCATTTTAACGAATGTTTATTCTCTTGCTTTTCGAATAATACACCCCACCGCCACCCCCCATATATATATATATATATATATATATATATATATATATATACATACAAGTATATGATTGGTATATACGGAATGAATTCCAATAACCAACAAATACTATTCTTAAAAGAGAGCAGATATAATTATTTATTTATTTTAAAAAAATTTATAACATAAATATGTTATAAAATCACTACAAAAATAGCCATTTTGTTTCAACACTCTCGGTGTCTTATCAAGTGATCATGTTGAATGTAAAATAAATGGTTTTAAAAGTTTCGAATTAATTAACAATACTTCACAAGGGGAAAACGTTGTTACAAAAGCTAGATGGACCAATCAAAATACAAGTATAGGAAAATTCAAAAAGCTTGACAACGAAGTCGTGTTATAATAGCTATTCAGATATTTAAAATATGGGTAGTATTAAAAAAGAATTTATTCTAACCAATAATTACTAAATTATATGATAAAATTTAATATTGAAATTAAAAACTGCTAATTTCA